CAGGACTTTGGGGGGTGTGGGCCACTTCACGTGCCGGCCGTGGTCCCTCATGGAGCGCACGTTTTTGAAGCGGCGGTTGACCTCGCGGATGTAGGATTTGACCTTATAGCGTCTGTAGGCCCGCAGGATGATCAGAGCCGCGCGCATGCGCCGGTACCGCATCCTGGCGATGGTTCCCCTCCACACCTGCAAACATGGGATCACGGGATGAAAACGGAGAGGGAGAGGACCGCTAGTTCCGAAGGATTTACACAAATCCCCACCGCGCCTCAGGCCCTGAACGCAGCATTCAGCGCAGCCAAGCAACGGTGCCTAGCAACAGTTCGGTTGCTAGCAGGGCTAGCAAAAGCAGGTGTTAGAAACGGTTGTTTTCAGTAAGGAAACAGTAAACTGACGATAAAAATCACAAATTTAATGAAAAATGTTATGATTCAAAGTTATAATTGAGTTATTCATTTTTTTAACATGGTTTTTATCGATGTGAAAAATGCGTTTTGGTACCTCAAGCTAGTTACAAGTTGCAGTTCGGTTGTTGTGTTTATGTGCACTTTTTGGTGCATTTAGGAGGTTTTTCAGGTTTTTCCTAGTTCTTTTTGTTTTGATCAATTCAAAAATGGAGAAAAGTAAGAAAAAGCTCCTAAATCGGTTTGACATTTGTGGGACTCACTACTGGACATTTCTTGACTCGATATTTAGCCCAACCCTTTTTAAAAAATGAAATAGGTCAGTTTTAAGTGCTTTTGTAAAGTAATTTAAGTCACAGTATTTCTAATGACATCTTTCACGGAGGGTCTATGTTTCATAAGCTCCTCTGTTGTGTTTTTAGCTGGATGGATGTCTCAGAATAAAGATCAAAACCCCCTTTAAATGACTCAAACTGGCCCTGTATGACTGAAACTCACCTGCATTTTGAACCGTTAAGCGGGTTTGATAAGTGTTATGTCAGGACTTCTGTCTGGGGACCATGTTCGGACCGACAGAAGCCCTCCTGTAACCCGACAGGGGCTGAGTGGCTATCAGACCCTCACTTACATGAATTATAGA